CCTTTCACCCATGAAAGGGTTTCCTTTTTTGTTTTAGGAGTTCCTGTGGAGAGCAGAGGACGTTGCCCTGTGCACAGAGTGTAAGACCACTCTGTAATTTGGGATTTGGGGCTATGCACGATAAAATGAATTGGATTGAACTGATCTCGGCTCTGTGGTAAACCTGCTTTCACTCTCGAAAGGAACGCGAGACGTTTTGTTCTTGATGCCCGAAACAATGAGAAACAGACCAGAGAAATGTGACTTTATTTTAATGAAGAAACCACGAAGAATAAACTATTCATAGAGCTTTAATATAATAAACAGCTTGCTATTAGATCATTATTGCTGATTAAGCCGAGTAGCGAAGCGTCATAAACCACCGAAGAAAACCCCGACACAGAGTAAGACAAAGACAAGCAGCCAGACAAGGAGGGCAGGGGGGTAGATAAGTGGGTCGGGGGGGAAACAGGGGCAGGTGAAAGAGAAACAGGAAACATGAACGGGATGTTACACTCGTACCCCAAGGGTTCCATAAGTTCTCACTATGCGTTCCTCAAGAGGCTGGTAAAGAACCGACGCTGACGTGGTGCAGCAATGGTCCTGTTTCTGGCTTTTCACCACCTGTGCTTTCAATAACCTCTGAAGGAGGAAAAGGAAGAAGAAGAGGAGGACAAAGGAAGCCTCTGACCCCGGTGGACTGAAACAACATTAAAGCTCATCTTTCTCTGGACACGTCTTCTCGTCCTGTGTCTTCTTCTCCTCCTTGTGGAAGACTTTTCCATCCGGCTGCTTCTTCCAGCTCAGTTGGATGTGGTCGTCCAGCCCCTGGTCCTTCAGCCTCTGTTTGAGCTGAGACACAAAAACAGAGAGGAACTCTTCACTAGATGCTGCTGTTCTTTCACGTCCTTTCTCTCACTGTCCTCATGTGGAAGCTCTGGTTCACAACCACTCTGGTTCCCTCTTTAACAGCTTTGTTGTTTGGACACAAGAGAGATGTACCTTCTCCAACATGTTCTCCATCACCACAGGGTCATTGAGGTCCACAGAGGAGCTGCTCTTCTGCAGCCTCACCTTGATCACTTGCTTTGAAACAGGCACATCTAAAAAATCAAAGGAACAATCTCAGCAGATGCTTTTCTGTATTCCTTAAACTGTATTTATGGATGAATTAAACTGAAATCAACATGTAAAGAATAAGTGAATGGTATCTTACCGGTGTAGCAGATGAAGGGTCTCATGTCCTGACAGTGGGAGACCTGCCATTGACCATCGGCACTGAAATTTGCTGCCACACAAGTCTCTTCAGAAAGTTTCGGTTCACCTTGTTTCCAGTTTGTAAATGAGGAGTGAGTCCCGTGAGACCACTTCCATCCATCTCTGAATAGACCGATCCAGACTATTCCTTGTGAGGGAACTAGATCCTGTATCTTCTGGTTCTCTGCCAGGTTCCTCACGCTGGCCAGGTCTGTGTGGTTGTCTCTGCAGTAGGTCTGGGCCTCAGTCCACTTCATGGAGATGTTAATGAAGATAAATGTCTCATTAAGACCTGAGAAGAGACCAGAGAGAAGAGCTGTGACAACAGACAAAACAGATTCACACTTGTCTCAGTTAAGTCCTGATATTTTATATGAACCAGTCTCAGTTTAGTCCTGATATTTTATATGAACCAGTCTCAGTTTAGGGAGGCCCAGAAGAACCATAACCAGGACTATCAGACCTGGTTTCTAGAGGGACCTGGTGAGAGGGGACACTACCACCTTTGTCTACAGGGGGTGCCAGAATCACCACTAGATGAACGTTTCTAGTTTTAATCTCACCTCCAGCATCGAAGCAGACGGACCTAAAGGAAGCCTCAGGCGGGTAGTCCATCCAGGACCCATCTGCATACATACATGTGTAGTATTCATTGTTGTTGGACCCTTCGCCAGGACCCCATCGTCTGAACTGCGCCTCCCCGGGTCGGTAGAAACTCTCGTTTGACAGTGACCACCTCCAGCTGGCCACATCATTATACAGTCCTATCCAGGCTACCTAGAAGCAATGTTTCATTGTGACAGAAGGACCATTATGAATGTTTCTTTCCCATCTACAGTTTATAAATCAGTCAGATTTACAAAACCTCGATTCAGGTGGTGATATGAACATTGACAGATGAACGACTCTCTGTAATCACTCCTCATGTTCACGATGGAGCGTCTCTTAACGTGGTGCCACAGAACTGGTGACATTACTCATATCTTTACATGGAATATGGAATAATTGTTTGATGATATTTGCAGTATATTCTGTAAAATAATATTATCTTGGTAAAATCCTACTCTGTCACACCAACAACCCTCTGAAACGTATCATGAGAAGGCATTGAATCAATGACACTCCAGTACAAGTACACGCTTCCCTCCCTGTGAGAAGGTGAAACCTTCAGACCTTCTGTCTCTGACATCAGAACACTCACATGGTCGTAGTCGGCCATCTTGCTTGAGTCCACCATCTGGTTCAGGGTCTTCACGTCCTCCGCGTGGCGGATGGTCACCAGGTCCGTGTACTTCTCTCTGCAGTGACGCTGTGCTTCAGTCATGTTCTTTGGCTCGTAAACAAAATCGTAGCGACGTACAGGGCGGTGGGATGAGACGGGACACAGCCCTGGGGCGACAAACTGAATGTTTATCACGTTTGGTATTAATAACTTATGCTAATTGAAATTTAGAAAAAGAGATTTGTAATCTCAATGGGACTTTCCTGGTTAAATAGAGGTTTAAATAAATAATTATATATATTATTCTACATTGAAGTAAGAAACAAGGGAAGAAAGAAGAGGAAGGTCAATTAATTTATTTAACAATGTTATCATGTTAAATGTGAAATCAATAAAAACATGTATAAGTCTTACCTGACAGGACGAAAATGCTCAGAAGAAGTTTGTCCATCATCCTCGTCTCTTCTCTGGTCCAGGCTACCGGTGGACGCTGGCTCAGCGCGTTAGATGTACGCAGTCCACCACTAGACAGCACCCAACAACACACTGTGTGTAGACGTCATCACGGAAATGTCATGGAAATAGAATGCTGGTGCCAATTAGATCGGATTTCCCTTCTGGGGCCGGTGCTTTGACTGAAAGGATCTTTAGATTTGACTGGGTTTAGAGCACAGAGCCAAGATACTTTCCTTTTGTTCTCCAGTTGAAACACGGGCTCATCCAATGTCATCCATGTAAATCCAACCTCGCTCTCAAATGGCATTCATTTCATCACTAGGACTACCAAGAGTTCTCATTCTAGACTCAGAATAAGCAGCTTGCATGAAGCAGCCTACACGTCAACTCACAAGTCTTATGATGGAGCTTCAACAATGTCTTAGAACAGGCCGTCCTGCTTTGTACCTTAGAATCTTTACATGGATGTTAGTTTAAATAGTAATGCATCTGGACCGTGACCTCTTGCCCCATGAATCTATTTTAAGTATTTTATATATAAATACTTACATATATATTTTTTGGGGGGGGGTAGGTTGTTTTCCCAGAGGATCATTATTTCACTTCTGTCGAGTATCAAAAAAGCCCTTTTGGGGACAGACGCAGAAGTCCACGTTCACTTGAGGACGGGTGCCTTCCTTCCATTGTAGGCAGTGGACAGAATTACGACAGCTCCTATTGCTTCAAGTTGAGTGTCAATCGAAAGGTCAGAGGTCAGCCACCACCCTGATACCAAGATATCGTCGAGGTTTACATGCAAACTCGAGTTGAGACGGAAGGTTCAGAATAATCAGGTATTTGTGCTCCGTTGTTTGCTGCTGAAGAATGGAGACGTCGTCTGTGCTCCTGTCCTCGGAAAAGGAGGTCTCTCCTTTGCTGGTTGGACATCTTGGAAATGTCTCTGTCTGTGGACTGTCCCGGTCTTCTTAAATGAGACCCTGACTTGTTGAAGACGGGTGAACGTGACTCATATCAATAAATCAATTATGTCCATTGATGGGTTTTTACAAATGATTTAATGCAAAAGACGACCAAGATTGTGAAGCAATTTTATGTCAGTTCTAATTAACATTTAGATCAATAGGGGAACATTATTGATCATTCATTAACATTCCTAATGAAGTTTATTTGAATATGTGATTGACAGCAGCAGTAAGAAGCAGCAGCTGATCTTCCTTTGTGACCAAATGAATGAAGCACCATCTCGTTTTGAAGATCAAATATACGGCTCATGGTTTTTGGCTTCATGTTTCCACCTGCTGGTTAATGTTCCGCAGCAATAATCATTTCATTTCTTAAAAAATGTTACACCTTCTGATACATTATGAAGCGTTGACAAGATAATCAGCTTTTCGATAACTTTACTAAAATGATTTAAAAACAAATAAACATTACAGTAGAATATTCCAGTTTCCGTACAAGAGGACCAGACCGGAGGTGGAAACAGGAAACGGTCACATGATGCGTCCTTAAAACGTGTACAACATTTACATCCATTGAAAGTCCTTTAAACCAGGAATGCACTACAGCGGATCAATAATGTGATCATTGTTCAGTTCTTCCCAATAATCAATAGAACACAGATGAATGTAGATTTCATGCCTATTAATACTGTTAAATCCACAAACTTTAATATTATTTGTTCTCTTCTAAACCAGAAGCAGGTTTTACTCAAAAAGTGTAAATTTGGTGCTTTTTATCAGACAAAGGTCTAAATCATTTATACGTTGTCTTTAATGCTATAATTCATAACAATGCAGCAATAATCTGTTGATGACGGCATCATCTGAAGATGTGAAGTGTATCTTCTTGGTCTGCAGACATTCAGCGTCTGTCTCTTAACAATGTGAATGAATAATAATTAGAGCGTAAACATTGAAAAACAGCCGGTTGCTTCTCATTCACCCGTTGGTTGGCTTGGGTCACATGACACATTCATCCAGGTGAATGACTTTGTTGCCGTCAGCCATGTTGGCAGATCCCTGAGAGGAGAAACATTTAAAAAAAGGCCTTCGAGACCGAAGCAGTCGATCACAGAGCGGACAGGAAGGACTGGGCCAGGATCAGGAGGGGCGTGGCCTGGAGGAGAAGGGCGGAGCTCTTTAGCCGCACCTCCACAGGTAAGTGGTTGCTCACCTGCAGCGCCTGCAGCAGACAGAAGCAACAGAGCTCAGAGTCAACGACGCCCACTTGCTTGGACAGGACGTGCAGAACTGGAGACAAAATGACACTTAAATAATTAATTAGTTTGTCGGCTTGCTGATCTTCCCTTTGCATGTCGGTTCATAGGAGAACAGAACCTGATTCACCTCTGAAATTCAGAACAGGTGCTGAGCTCATCGAGTGTTTCACCAGAGATTCATCCAACCAATCACAGCTCTGCACTCAGTTACTAATACTAGTGACCAAGACTCGGTGGTTGTTCTGCACTTAATTATATTTTTCTAATTTGACGTTGATGTCGTCGATGCTTTGACACAGAACAAAAGAGGTGTTTTTTTATTCTAAACGTGGTTGATTTGCTTCACACCCTGAAGATGTTGTAAGCGACTTCTACTTGAACCAAACAACTTCACAGAGGCTCCTTAGAAAGACCCTTGAAGGCAAACTTCATTCCTCCTTTAAACTTTCTCCAAGGCGGTGCCGACCAGATCCCCTGCTTCTGTTCCTTCACAATAAAAGCCCTCGACTCACCGGCTGGTATTTCATCATTCGACGCGTCCGGCGTGGAAAGACCGACTAAGGTGCTGACGCCAGAGAATCAGATCTAGTCAGTATTTTACAGGAGAAACGTCCTTTGGTGCTGAACCAAAGTTGCGTGGAGCTGATGGGAGCGCTACATGGAGACTCTTTTACCATGGTTCATCTTGAGGGGACAATGAACAGCTCTTTATCACAGAGGGGAGACACACAGACCTCTCTCTTGGGTAGTTTGAAGTCCTTCATATAGTTGAAGACTTTTGCAGAGAACGGACTGATGGTCTTCAGGAAGGGTTCTCCATGAACCACGATCCTACAAGCAAGCACACACAAATCTGGTGCTTACAAGAACAAATACATGACCGAAAAACCTAGACACAAACACACACACACACACCTACCGGTCAAAGGCGCAGTTGGTGTCAGAGGAGATGGTGGTGTCCACTTTGTCTCCGATCAGCCAGCTAAAAGAGGAGTTGGTGATCAGCCGGATGTTCTTCTTGTCGGCTCGGGTCACGTAGGCACAGCTGGCGTGGAAGTCTCCCAGGAACATGACATTCTACACACACACACACACACACACACACACACACACACACACACACCTTATGAAGCTCACCACCACCGCGCTGTTCCCACCACAAACCTACAGGGCCATGTTCTGGGTGAGGTGAAGGTTTGGGTGTAGTGATTCTGCCGGGCTGCTCCATGCTTCTGGCTAGCGGCTAAAAACGGATGATTCTATCGTTCTGTGTTTTAAACCCCATTCTCACAGTGTTGTTCCACTTCTCGGTGACTTCTTCAAAGACGTCGTAGAGGCGGTCGATCTCCTGCACGGCCTGAAGGGCGTCCGAGTGCAGAGGAACCAGGACAAAGGACCCGATCGCTGCAGGACATGAGGAAGGAAGCAAGAACAGGAAGAGAGAGGAAGGAGTCAGTTATTTACACAGGAAAGTTGGTCTCACCTGTAAAGTGTTTGTTTGTCTCCTTTGCTTCAATAATAACACAACAGATAAAAACAGAATACATTTGATTCATGTTTCTTGTAAATTTAAAATGTTTTTTGTCCCTGAAGGAAGAAGGACGTG